AATTTGGGGGAAGGGGTTATGATAGTTCAATGATCATATCTCAACAGATCATAATATCCACTATTCTAAAAGCCACTTTCAAAGTAAGGGGAAAAAACTACATTTTTTTCTAAAAGTAGATTATATATATAGTATAGAATATACACTCTAAAACAGGCGTCCTCAAACTATGGCCCACAGGCCACATGCAGCCCGCCAAAGACATTTATCCAGCCGGCCGGGTGTTTTTGCCCCGTCTTTTTTTGTACAGTGTGCATAGGAATTCATTCATAGTTTTTTTGTTAACTATAGTCCGGCCCTCCAACGGGTCTGACAGACAGTGAACTGGCCCCCTTTTTTAAAAGTTTGAGGACCCCTGCTCTAAAAATATACATTCTAAAAGAAAATATCTAAAAGTAGATATTACATTTACATTCAATTATTTCCTAGATGTATGTATAATCTTGCAAGTAACTAGCCCAGTACTATAGATTAATTCAACAAATTCTTATTTTAGAATAAAAGGCAACATTCAATGACTCTTTAATACAATTAGAATGAGCCCAAATAAGGAATAGTCACAGAGATGAAATATTTATTGCACCTTAACACTTCTTAGCCTGAATGTAATGGCTTAAGGATCTATCTCATGGGGGTTTTGTACAGATTATAGTGTGTATGTTATGTTATTTCTATACAGCCTGGAATAAATAGCAACTGTTATAAACAATGAAAATAACAATTTATAAATTTATTATTTTCATTTACTAGTATTCTACAAATAAGTTCCTATTCTGCCTGCCTAATAGTTCTGCCTTCACACTGACTGAATACCATACAAACATTGCTTCCAAAGAAAGTTTTTTAAAAGTATTCAAATATCAAATAATTTTATCAACCAAGCACATAGAAATGGATGTACTCGGTACAGAGAGCCAATAAACTAGTAACATAGTGAGGGGTAAGGGGAAAGAGTAAACACTAGTTCTAGCTAAAGTCAGCTACAAAAAAGCCCTGCATAAAAGCTTCACAAGAATAAAACGCCTCCCTTGCAGTAATGAATGAGAATTTTTTGCTGAGAAATATATAGCACCAAGTTCAGACTGGGTATCATCCTTTTGCCTAACTATACAGGAAGGGAAAAAGCAAAATGGTGTTAGGAGTTTTCAGGCTGTACCATCTCCATTTTTAACCTGATAAAAATAACATTTCTATAAACAGGAAATATTGCTAGCAAATGCCAGCATAGACTGTTGAGAGTCTTGAAAGCCATAAGAGCATGCCTTTACAATAGCTTAAGTTCAGCATTCATTCTCAATTCTCCAATCCCCTGCAATCAAAAGCCAACCTGTACCAGGTTGGTTTTGAGAACATTTAGGGTACATGCTTGGTACTAGTGCTTTCCACACAAGGGATAAATTCAAAAGCCATCTGTGAACTCAGAAAGCAGGTTCTCAGATGCTTGGAGAGGGTTGGGACCCTTACAATATTTTTGCCTTCAGCAAAAATGTATTTCAATATAATTATAGTAGACAGATTTCAATGTCATCTTTCATAGCAGCTTGTACACAGTGAATTGCCTGTGTACAAGCATTTTTTACTGGTACAAGCAAAGTGGGAGAGCTGCATAGGGTATGGCAAATCTTTTTCTTTTTAAATGACAGCAAATGTCTAAGTCAAATTTCATTTGCTTATGAAAGGAAACTATTAAATTCATGTCCTTTTGGTAGAAAAGTAGAAGAACCAAGAACTAGATCAATCGAAGGCCTTCAATTCTTAGAAATAAAGCTTCTTAGAACACTTAGTTTAAGTTCATTAAAAATTCACCTTTTCTAACACAGTAGTTGGGTCTCTAATCACATAGGGAGTAAGGTAAAGGCAATTTTCAAAACTTGCAGCCAGCCAATAAGAAGACACAGGAACAACCAGGTCTTTTGGCTAGACAAGAAGAAAATGCACCCAAGATGAAGTATTTACCAGGCAGTTTGCTGCAAGCTTTGGAAAACTTATTTCTGCTAGGTGTGAATACCAACACGAGAAAATGTAAAGTTTTGTTTGGTAGTGATATTCAAGACATCTTCCAGCTCAGATTTAATTTTGTTCAAACTGTAGCTCTAGTCTGCACAGCTTTGTAAGTGTGATTGTGTTTATAAGGTACGTTAATTTACTGCAGTGGTGGTGTTTGTTAATTTTATGGCACTCTAAATCTAAACAGGCTTCAGATACATTTTCATTAGTTTCATTGCAAAACACAGTAGAGTGAATAGCTCTAAGATTCCAATGTCATTTATTTCTTTATAGAAAAAGACTCAACACAATTTTCTGATGAAAGGATCTGACTTAACATGTATGTTCTTCCAATTTACGAATAAGCTTTCTGTCACTCAGAGTACCCAAGTTCACTTTTAGGACAAACAACACATAATTTCTACAAAATGATTAAAATAGTTATTTTTTTATTTCTGCTCTATTTCCATTTTAAATGCAATCCATTAAGAACAAATATGATAAGACCAAAACGTACCTAAATTATTTTCCAATTCCAATGGAAAAGGAAATTTTATTGACAGAAGTGACTTTCAATGCCTGACTGATATTAACTAGATGCGTGAAAGTGGACAAATTATTTAACCTTTCTGAATCTCATTTTCTCATCTGTAAAATGAAAATAATTGTATTTTGAAAGATGCCACACCCTTTAGCTCCACTGAATCTTTCTTTAATTCCAAAATATATCCTTGAAGGGTTCATCCCAGATAAACCCTTACTGCACGGAAGAACTAAAAGGAAAAGTTGACTGTCTCAACTCAAAATTCACTAGTCCTAGTAACTTAGGAGAACCAAAAAAAAAAAAGAATTATGAAAGTCAACCTAATTAATTACCACATCCTATCTAATTATTTATCAATAATACTATGTTTATATACTTATATTTTTCCTACTAAAATTGTCAAAAATTAGAAAGTAGAGATTTAAATGGGTATTAGGGTACTAAGCATATCTAGAAATAAAGTTCAAGATTAAATATCAAAACTCATATATCAAATAAATATCTGGATATTTAATCCAGAACATATGTATGTTTAAAACAAAACCCAACTGGTGATTCTGGAACTATGGTTACTAACAATTTCACACGGTGTTTCGATTACAGTGAGGTTCAAGATCTTAACACTGGCTGGTGCCAGGTTCACTCAACTTACAACAAGACTAAGAAGAAGGTATGTGCGAAGACATACTGCTGGATAATTCCTCTAAAAAGGAAGCTATCTAGCCCTAAAATTATGTCTTTCCATGCAAAGTGACTGGTAGTACTTACTTAAGAAGTACCTATAGATGTGTTTAATAAAAAGTTGTACAAATAGGATTATACTCAAATTAGAATCATTTTCTGCTGTTTATGCTCAAGGCAACCATTTCAACCTTGATTCATTTTCTTTACTTTCAGTTATTCATATACAATCCGAAAGCTGAACTCGCTTCATGTATATGTATATACAGTAATTTTTCTAGAACTCTAATTTGCATATTTCCACCAAAAATTATTCCTATAAAGAAGGCTGGAGTTTTAGTTTTAGATCTCAGAAAGTCCAATTCAGAAAATATTTTACATTAGTTAACATTCATTGTCTTTTAACACAAAATTACATAAATCTTTTGATCCTTCCTCAAAACACACTCACCTCTAGGAGAAAATTCAACACTTGCTTAATATAATAATCATATCCAGAATATTAGGGAAAAAATATATATATGTGTATGAATATATTCATTAAAAAACTGAAACTATACAGGGATCTTAGAAAAATCATCAGTATTAAAGTGGACTAGTATACATTACAATAAAATGTATGGACTTGAAAAAGTACTTGCTTACATGCTATTTATGGGTGAAATGATATGACGGTCTAAAATAAAATTGGTAAAATACTGAAAATTGCTTAATCAGAGTGATGGGCATATAGATGAAATCCTTATTTTAGATTGAACCCTATGAAATTATCAATACTCAACAGTTTTTTTAATATAAAAACTTGACAATTCCATAGTTTAACCAATTCTAGTCTCTTTAGTTTTGTATCCATGTTTAAACATTTCCATAGTAATTACTACCTTCCAAACGAGAATTCCTTACACTAAGCAGGGTTTTGTCTTAAACCTTAAACTAACACCCAAAATGTACTTAAAATCAATCACCAATGTTTACCTTATTCCACTAAATCTGACTCACTTATTTCCCCCACATTTTAACATCCCTTAAGTTTGAAAACATGTTATAATCAGTGGCATGTTATAGTGAAATTGACAGTGTTCAATTTTTCTTGGTGACACATAAAATAATGATGCAGCTCAAATCAAAGATATCTGAGATTCAATGAAGTATGGTGAATATAATTGCTCAGAACAGCATGTTCAAGCCATATTCTTTTTCCTAATCAGAAACTTAACATACAATGCCCAGCATTTGCTGTCCCACGGTACCCATAATTTTATCCTCGGAGGTCTCCTCCTCAGACAGCCAGGCCAGAACTCACTTTCTTTATGAACTAGCTCCCTTCTCCTATTATCTGGCACAATCCACAAGAACTCATCCCTAAAAGGATTCTGGAACTCACAGCATAGGAGGTGAAACTCATTATGCAAAAGTTCTCTTTAGGGGTTGCTATGGCTTATGAATAAGGCCAGTGCATACATATTAGTTATATAGGGTTTTGAAGAGCACCAAGCAGTCAGGTTAGAGGAAAAATGGCTGTGGGTATGGTAGTAAGGGCATGTGAATGTGAGGAATGAATAAAACTAAAACAAGTGGATGGGATAAAATAGGCTTAGCTCCACCTTGGTAATCTCAAAAGGTCTTCCTTTCACTGAATCAAATGATTTACTTGAAGTTTGCATTGACCTCATTTATTTTGTTCTTTGTGTTAACATCTACCCCTCGTAGCCCTTAGTATTGGTTAGTGCAATCTAACAGAAGAGCAATAGAGGGTTTGTGCGGGACTATGAGAGTGACGGCTGCTGACCTGTTCATATTTCTCCAGTTCTGTATGATAGATTTGTCTGATCTGGGTCAATTTGGCTCTGTAATCTGAGTGTTCAATAGAGTTATCTGAAGAACCTCCAGAGGCTGCCGCGGCTGCAGCTGCTGCCGCCGATCCCCCACCTTTCTCAGGACCTGAAACCCCTTCTGCCAAAAGCATATTGTCCAGTCTCATTAGCTGGGGATCGGGAGGGTCCTCCTCCTGGGCTCCTCTGATGCTGAGACCTTCAAGGAAAGAGAGAGACAGAGAGACAGAGAGAAAAAGCAAGAAAGAGAGAACAAATAGTGTGAGTATTTTGTTTATTTGGGGAAAAAATGATAAAACAAATCCGTGTACTACAATTCATGTGGAGTACTTCATTGTTCACAGTTGACCAATAACCTTGACTAGGTGTGAAAATTCTTTCCAAGACTGATCTACAATCTCTGCCTCTTCCCTTCATTTATGCCAAAATAGATCCTTAAAAAAGACAACCTTAGCTTCTTGGAAGCCAGAGCCCTGGTGGTGTGTTGGTTACAAACTGTACTGCTAACCACCAGTTAGCAGTTCAAAACCACCAGCCACTCTGGGAGAGAACGTTGAAGCTTTCTACTCTCTGAAAGAGTTACAGTTTCAGAAAGTCAGAAGGGCAGTTCTCCCCTGCCCGCTAAGGTCACCATGAGTCAGAAGTGACTCGATGGCAGAGAGTTGAGTTTTTCGAACTCCTTGGAATATTTCAAACAACCACACTTCCCATATCCAAATGATTTAAACAAAATGAGTTAAAAAAAATGGAGGTTTTGGAAAGGAAAACTATTCTGTGGATATAAACCCATCTGTACAGTTGCAGGAACAAAATTAAAATGACAATAATCAATGCACAAGAGCTCCAAACTGAACAATAAACAGGATTAGAGGGACCTGTATCATGTAATTTCAGGGGGAGCAAAGACATACACATATTATGAACTAATTAGTTACACTTAAAAAATGCACATTATGAAATGAACAGCAACCTATCAAACCAGGATGCTAAACACAGTATTAAAAATGTGCCATCGGCATGGCAATACATTGCTGGGCACAGAAGTCTCAATCTAATGCTGCTTTTAAATCAAGAACTTCCTAAGTGATGCCCAGTCAGCAACCTCGTCTGTGTACTACAGATCACAGCTGACAATTCACAGGTTTAATCAGGTCACATAGGCTTTCTGCCAAGATGTTTTCAACAACACAGATGACAAAGTTTTAAAATAATTATCAAGGTAAAAAAACACTGGAGTCATGACAGCTCGAAATCAGCATTTTCATTAATGTGTAACATAATCTAAGATATCCCAGCCCAATTAACCTCTGTAAATCTATTTAAAAGCTGGTTCCCCACACTAGTTACAGCAAGGCATCTTGGGGGAAGGGAGGAAAAAGAAGTTGGCATCATTGATGTTTACATTTGGATTCTGCCTTTTGCATCGGTGCCTGTTGTTAATCCACAGTGGTGTACACTGTGCCTAGTGCTACTTACACGACAGTAATATCTATAAACTGCCAAGAACTCAATTGAGCAGCAGCTCTGTGATTTTATATGCTAACCTTAAACTACCATTAATTCTTTTAAGAACAGATTTCATTCCTAGCCATCCTGAATTACACCTATAGCATGATAGAGCTCTTGGTGGTCTCAACTCAAATGTACAACTTGAATTCCCTCCAAAAAAATGCTTTAAAGCCATCACTTTCATTTAAAAATATACTTCAGAATAATTCCAATTGGATAATAAAACTAACTCACCGTAATTTAAAAGTTTATCTACTGGCTGCTCAGGTAAATAAAAAAGGTTTCAAAATTACAATATAGTATAATAAAATTAATTCATTTAGGGAAACAAAAGTTAGGGAACTCTCTTGAGATCATCATCAAAATATCACTGGTTAATTAAAGAGAGACAAATATGTAATTTCCAGTTCTTTCAAAACCACAGTTTTAGAACTGCCAAGTACTGGCTAAGTTGGTATTTTTAATTTGACATCTTTGATTTTCCTCCTTTCTAGCTTATTTTGATAAGCATGATCTGAACATACTCGTGGTTCCAATACCAAGAAAGTTTAGGTTGCACATAGCAAGGGATTCCTCAGCAATCTTTTATCTGACACTTTAGGCTCGATTTCACTTTATAGTATTTATTGGGGAACTCCTTACACTGCTCCTTTTTAAACTAAATCTTCGCTCACATTCTCTCGGGCTTGTTTCTTTTTGTACTCACACAGGTACTGACACCCTAGGAATGTGTTCTTCATCTACCTTCAAGCTTCCTCCCAGGTTTCTAGTTTCCCCCTTGTACTTGCATACATTTATGCTTCCCCTATGGACATTTGGTAAAGTTCTTTAATAGCTAATCAATATCTATAGTCAGAAATATTACACATTCCTACATAAATGTGGCAAGCAAGGCAAAATGCGTGATGTCTAATACACAAGGAAGAGAGCCAGAAGAAACAGATTCCTCATGAAAAAAAAAAATGCAACAAACATAAATGAATTAGCCATCTATGGTACTTCACACATATCTAATAATGTGTGTAAATTATCACCACCACATAGTAGCAATCACAAAAATTGTAAGTACGTATTTTTAACTAGTATAACATTTCCCTCTTGCGACAAATATTAATCTTTACTTCTAAAATCTTAAGTAAGTTAACGCTTATATGTTTGTCTTAAGTGAATGAAGTACCTCAACACTTACAGGTGATAAGTATTAAACTTTTTTTTTTAATTTCCTGATGAAAAGTTCATATTCCTTTGAGTGAAAAGTACTAGAGTACTTTGTAATTAGGCAACATCGAGAAGGCTATTGATCAATACTGAACACATTTTTATGACTAGAGTTTGAAAAGTGAATCAATTTCTTACTCTATTAAGCAAAGTCATGACTATAGATCTCTAAATAATACCTAGTTTCCAAAATTAGTTGAATATTTTTTATCTATTTCCTTACTTTACACTTAAGTTACCATTTACTCCTCATCATACTTACTTGCCCACTCACTGTTCCTTAGCTTGCTAACCTTCTAAAATGGCACATGGTTTCCAATCACTAACACCTACTCCCCTGGGTATCTATAAGCATTTTAATGAACCAAAGTTTGAAAGAGGCAGAATGAACTGAATTGTGTGTTTACCAAGATTTTTAAACCTTCATGTTAAAACTTAGAAAAGCAAACGCTTTGAAAATGATGATAGCAATATATCTACAAATGTGCTTGACACAATGGGTGTATGTATGGATTGTTAAGAGCTGTAAGAGCCCCCAATAAAATGACTTTTTTTAAAATTGGAAAAGCAACAGCTTAAAACTCAAGTTATTCTTCAAATCAGTTATTTCTGTCTAAAATGTGTACTAAAGCATATATAGTAGTTTATAAAAGTTTTACATCTAGATTATTTGGTCATCACAGGATTATAAAGATTAAAACAAAACAAAACAAAAAAAACAATTTGCCATCTACTTATAACCACAACATTCATTTTGGTTTCCCTAAAATTTAGACAAATCATACAAACACAGTAAAACATTGTTTAACAATGAACTTGGCTTTGTTATAAGCCCACACTTTTTGCATATCTTTCAGCAAATCCTAATTAGCTGTCTTTCAACATGCTGTGCACCTGCCCCACAGATAATGGGAGAGAGCATCTGCATAGATGACTGCATTCGAAGGGCAATAAATAAATTACAGGTCAAAATTATTACAAAGCTTTCTCCGAATAAATGCATACCATTCACAATACTAAGCTGCAGATGTGAAAAGTACCTAAAGCCCACTCAAATGGTATGATTATGGGCTGTTTGAGTTTAATAATCTGACTGTAATTCAGGCATTTTCAACAGCTCATTAAGAGTTCATTAATATATAGGAAAGCTTTTGAATTATAAATAAGCAGATTAGAAATCTGCAGTGGTTAGATTGTACAGTAGTAGCCTGTCTAACAGAACAACATGGCCAATACAATAAAGGCTTGACCTGAGAGAAGAGGTATAAACACAGGGCACTAAGTAAGCTTCGTGGCTCCTTCATTTCAAGGACCAAACCCACTGGACCATGACCAACCTCTGTTCATCCAGGACTAAATAGTGGCTTCTGACCAAAGCTATCTCAGCTATGTTCTCCACATTCATGGTCGTGAAATATATATCACTAAGATCTAACTCTACAATGTTTCCATAACCAGGGAAGATATTATCCAATTGACAAATAAAAGTTCTCATCAGATCATGTCCACTTTGTAGAGTACCTCTGTTCAGTTCTGCTGAGAAAGAAATAAAAGTTATCATGGGCACGTCAGTTGTTTGGTTTTTATTTTTCCTTCTATAAGCACCAAACACTCCTACGCTAGAGTCTATGAAAGCTCTCTAATTGTGTTCTTTGCTGGATTTGTTTCTGGTTCATTCAACTACCACACACCAGTTTTATTATCATTATTTTTAGCTAAGAGCAAAACATTTTAGCAGAGTATTATAGAACAAGGCCAAAACAGATGTTTTCAGCAGGCTCTAAATTTGGGTTGCTTTGAAACCAGATATAATTCTAATATTTTCAATTATTCTTATATCTTTCCATACATTGCATTTTGTGGCTATTATTTAAAATGAACAAACAGGACTGTGGACTGAAATTATAAAGCCAATGAAGACATCATTCCAACTTTACTGTCTGTATTTTCATTTTAAAATTAAAGTCAACCCAATTTGAGCGATCACTCAAATTTTAAAGAAGCTGCTAGTTTTCAAAAAATTGTTTTGAAAACTAAAATGAGTTCCCACCTGAAATCCTCAAGTTAAATACAAAGCAGAAGACCTACAAATAAGATGAAGGTCACAAGATCATTGAAACAATTATTAGCGCCCTCCCATCCATGCCCCCGCCAAATATTTACTACTTTTTATTGAAGAAGTTAGTTATCAATTACTGCTTGGGTATAAAAATGGACTAGAATTTGAAAACAAAGGGAAGACAAGAATTTGAAAGAAAACAATGCACCATTATCTAAGATAGACTTAAGTATTGGGGCAGGAGTAAAGGGCTGGGATTCTTAGTCAAATATGAGTAGACCAGAGTGCAAGCAAAGGAGCCAAGCCTAAGTTAAGGAATGGGGAACAGGCTCTTAAGTGTGTTTTTACAGAGGGAGAGAAAGCAAAAAGAGAGACTGCACCAATTGAATCAACACTTCCTAAAGAGAGCTCTG